CCTGCCGAACGATGGTTTCAAACATGGTGAACACACCAAAATCCATAAACACACAGCATGTATTCCGGGAAACCCGAACAATCACTGTTGAAACACCACACGGCACACGGTGTTCTGTTGTGTCGTGCGAACGAGCTGTTCCGATACGACGGACTCGTCAGACGGACTGCTCGTCGCCGCCCGTCAGCACCGCCCAAAACACCAACGACTAAACGACGAGCCAAACACGACCCACGCCACAACGCCCATTGGTGTGAAGCACCTGAGACGTTTTGCAAGCGATCCACCGTCTAAGATGCAAACACGACCACGCCGGCGCCACGACTTGGTAGTACACTTTGGTGCACTGTATTCAATACTCGTTGCACATCTCTGTAGTGCCGTATGTCATGCCAGCCCATAGCCTTCGGATTTTGGATGTTCATGATCAATAAATCTAAGCGAACTAGATTTTGGCAGGTGTTCCAGACACCAGGTATATGCATATATGAAAAATATATATGTATATTACTGTATATATTCATAAGTGCTGTGTGTCTCACCCTGCGGCACTTTTGCTACTATGAAGGCCCTCCACACTGAAGTTTCCTTTCAAAGTTTTAAGGGCTTGCTTTGGCGCCGCAGAACCACTTACTTGGTTAAGTGCGATTCCCACAGCTGCAGCGCAGCAAGCCTGCAAACTTACACAGCGCTACTGCCCTTGGGCACCGCTTAGAAGCAGCCCTTGGTACAACGCAGGGGGCGAAGACAACAGCACCTCCGCCCTATGAAGGCCATCGCGTTTCTCTCATCCGCTAGCTCCCCGCCAAACAACTTAATAACGTTGTAAATCCCCAGGGTGAGCGGGGTCCCGACGTTCTTTTAGGGCGCCCGCGGGGCCTGGCACCGGCGCTGTAAATACCGTTTTCAGGATCACATGAGCCGGGCCATGGGCCACGAGCCGTGCATTTTGGTCAACGCACGCGGCCACGGCATGGCTAGACATGCATGGTCACTGCCTTCCTTGACATGCGACATCTCAAAAGGCACAGGCTGCCATGTGCAAGGAAGGTGCCCAACTTGGATGCCGCAAACCAATCAAAGATTTGGCTTCTTCATGGGGGGCCCTATGGTTGTTTTCATAAACAAACTAACCCGGTCATTCAACTTCGCCTAGTTTGTGAGATTCGTCTCCGCCTGCGAGGCGCCGCGTCCTCCGGTGCTTCGCGAGCGCTGAGAGGCCCAAGGACGCGAAGGACAGCGGTCCCAAGCCTAGCGAGGTCATTTCGGTCCCAGATCGAGGCCCGATTTTCTGTGTTCCCTCTGGGGAAGACAAGAACACCCACATACTGCATGAGTACTGCATGAATTCTCCGTAGTGTAGAGACATGGAGTGTTTGCTAATACTTTTCCGCCAAACAAGTTTTGGAGTCTCTCCCGGGCAAGGCAAGGATGCCCAATCTAAAACAACACCAATACAGAACCAATAACTCTAACCCTAACCTTAGATCTGATGTGTCTTTTTTCTAAAAGACCTTTAGACCTGTTCTTCTTCCTTTTCTAACCATAGATCTGATGTTGAGATTCTTCTCTCAAACTCATCGCATCACTCGAGTCGAGTCGTGGTCCTCGAGATTGGTTTCGTGACCGGGAGCGCTGGGACGACCAGTCCACTGACGCTTGACGCAGGCCACCCTTCGACCTGGGTCCTGTTCGACGATATGATTGACATTTCCTGAAGGTTTCAGCACATTCCTGGAATTGGGTCACCGGTTGTAAGAGTGTATACGACATGTTTTTGAGTTGACTGGACTCCCAAAGGCTATGCTTCAGAGACTTCATGTCATGTTCCAGAAGTCCGCTCTGACCTTTTCTCCTATTTCCAGGATCCCAAATTCTGATGTTACAGTCGTCGATCGGCTCTCCAGTTAGGCGCCTAGGCCGTATCCGGCGCCGTCGACTTCTCGAGCAAATCGAAGTTGAGCGCCGCGTCTTCGAAGTGATATCAACTCCCCAGGTGTTCACAGTCTGGATCCTCTTAGTGGATTGAGAGATGGCACAAGTTACCCCAAGTTGGATGGTGCAATTTTGGAAACCCCTTCTGTCTAGGGTGTCTTGGGGTGCCAGTGTCATCTACTCTGAAAGCACTGTACTTTGATGCTTCTCGGGGGAAAAGCAATGGTACACGTTCCGTGCAAGTCCCAGCCATTCACATGCAGTCGAAATTGCCCAAAGGACAGTCCACAAACAAACGTGCAGTTCAAAGGGCAATGCTCTGTATAGCAGCATCGCAAGAATCCACTCATGAATCTGCAAACTACCACTCAGCCCGAAATAGCCTGAAGTCCCAATGTGTTGACCTTACCGTTGACCTTCCTCCTGGAAGAGGGCAGCGGTCCTCGTTCCCTTGAGGGCTTCTTCCCCACCCAGCACCAAACACCAGCGAAGAACATGGACGGTGGATATAAATCCATGACCCCAAAATGGTCTGGTTGCATCTTCATCCCGAAATCGACCGCTATGACCCCGAAAAAGCAAAAACAAACAGCTCGTATTTCAACGGAAAGGCCCCACCTCGGGCGTTCTCGAAGACGCTGCTCCGGCGCTCTTCGCGGCCGCGAGAGGGATGCCAAGGCCGCGATAATGCCCTGAGGGTTGGGTAATCCCCTAGGAATTTAGCAAATCCAAGGAGAAGCACCTACGAGAAATGCATCTATTGTTCCAGTGAGTTGGCATAGCCTATTTGTACTTGAGGAGGACAAGGAACCAGAAAACATATTTATCTTGCTTCAGCAACAAGGCAAAGGGGCAAAGGGGCAAGTGCACTTACTTCCACGACTGTGCGAACTCTCCACCTCCAGTGATGTGCGTCAAGGATTACTCTGCTTATGCTAGATCATAGATTTACTTTACTTACCTACTTGTAGTGGGTCACTATTGCAAAAGGGCAAAATAATCTTCACTGCAAGGATAAGTGCCACAGTACCAAATGACATGGCATGAACTGATGTAGGCACTATATATATATATACATGATGTTTATCATGGCCCATTTCTGCTTGTGAGCCAGCTGGACCTAGTATGTGATTTGGACATGGCCAACCGTCACACGGACCCCACACCTGGAGTCGCGGATGGTGCTCGGAGACGCCTTCACCTGAGTTCGAAGGATTTCAGTCACATGGCTGTGGGTCACAACTCGAAACTAGGATACTTTGGTTGACCATGGTTGACCTATACCTGGAAGGTTAAGTTACGAGTACTTGGTGTTGGGGCTCTAGGTTTTGACCTATCCCCACAAGTGACCTGGAGATCCTGATTTCACACCTTGTTTCACACACCCTTCGAAGGACTTCAGTCGACTGACCTCTCTGATTCCAACGAAACTCGCATGCTTTATTTGGCCCGCTGACACTCGCATCCTTCGAAGCGGGGACCACTGATCTGCTGAAGCAACGAGACAATGAGGACGATCCATTCTAAGAGGATAAGAGAGTGACGAGGGCATTCACTGCCAGATACTCCCCATGGGTTCCCTGACGAGGGCGTTGGGAAAAAATCCTTCTCCTGGAAGGACTGATGCTGGGTCTTTTGCAAGAAGAAGGACAAAACAAGATCACCCAACACACGTGATCGCTTTAAGGAAACTGTTTGTAATCCTAGTTTCTTTGTTGAGGGCGATCAAGGGTGTCACAGACAAAATAAAAACAGAATGTTCCTTCCGTAACAAACCATGCAAATTCGTAGGTTCTCGAGACTTTTCAGGTGCTAGCTGTCTTTGTTACCCTAAGAATCCGGACCCTCAAATGGAGAGACTTTAGAGGGCCCAGATTTCCGCATGAGGGTTACAAGATGCTACAAGGATCAACTGCAGGAAAGTCAACCCCAGCCCCACTCCATGTATGGGATATGTACCTAACCAACGATGCAACCACCCCAATGATGGTAACTATATGTAACTATACATGGAGAGTCTGGGACCTAATCCAAAATCCCGCAGGCGCCGACTTCCAGGGACGCCTGGCCGCAGAGGTCAGTGTTCACCGAGGTGCCCGGTGTGCAGCTTGAAGAACGACAAAGCCTGCGAAGAGGAAAGCTCCAAGGGACTTGAGCAAGTGAGATGTGAACCTGCAACTATTGATGGTTGGAGATCCGGGAATTGTTTTGAGGACTGCCAACATGGTGAACACCTTGCTAAGGCAGGGGGTATACACTTGTAGTAAACTGGTCACGGGAGGTTTAGTCACTTCTTGACTAAAAATGTTACTGTAATTAAACTATATATCATATGACCGGGAGGCCAACAAACAGGGAAAACCATATGAGTTCTCAAAAGAAACACATACTGGCAAAAAGACACACGGGCTATTCCATTCCATCCATCCACAAAACACTCGTGGTCTTGGGTCTTCCAAACACACACACACACACAAAAAGCAAAAAAACAGGGTCTTCCAAACACACACACACAAAAAGAAAACAAATTCTCGAAGTTTCGTCCCAAAACGGATTTCAGTCCTTGCCTGGCTTATGTTGACTGAGTCTGCATGGACTGGTCATCGGTGACGAAGCGGCATGACTGGTGAAACGGTACGTTCATCCATTCGGAAGAAGCACCGAAGCACCCCAGTGACGACCCCAGTGGAACCCAGGCAGGTACAAATCGAACACTATCATCGGGGCAGTCCAGATTTATATAGATGGTTTTAGTCTTTCGAACCACCACTTGTTACCTACTCTAGTGGTAACACTTGGTTAAACATGGTGAACTGTTTGTCATATTATTGTCTTGGTTTGTGGAGGAAAGCCCTGGTGCTGACAGTATTTCAGCTTTGAAGGCCAATTTCAGACTCTCGGTTCTTGCACTGTCATCTTCCGGATGTTCATCTATATATGTTCCGTAGAGGTCTTTGGTGGTCTCCCTACTTCAATACACATGCACTCATTGGAACAACGACTTTGAAAATTGAAACATGTGTTCAAAAAAAAACCTATTCCTTGAAACACCCTCTACAACTCCTGCTGAAACTGCATCTCTTTATCTGTGCCTCTCAAATCTTATCAATACCGGCTCACATGTGGATTCTGTGACAGTCACCTTCTCAAGAACAAAACACGAAATGCCCATCTTCCGGAGTTGAAATCCTTGTTCGTTCTGGCGGGACGGGCTTGACTCACCGGCAAACACGGGCAGTGACACCATTGTGGAGCCAACACAAATCTTCCAATTCATCCTCACACTCTTTGCGATCAGCAGCGGTGGGAAACTGTCCCATCAGCATTCGGTGCTCATGAAATAGTTCATGTCACGTTGGCAAGTGCCTTGTCCATGATTTGTGGCTTGAGCACGTAGAACCTTCTTTTTGTAAGCAAAGCTGGCAGCAAAGGATGCACTTTGATGCGGGCCAGGTACACGCGTTGCGGCAAAGTAATGTGCCCCAGAGAAATTATTCAAAAGCTGGATGGTTTGATTATGTGTCTTGGGTGCCAAACAGCTACCTTCAATAACTCTCTCAACCAAGGGCTTGAGGGTTTCGATCAAATTTAATGGATTTTCAGCTGCCGCTGCCTGAGTCCGCATGAAGGCATTCATCTCTTCAACTTCCTGCAAGTGGCCCAAGGAAGTCTCCTTGAGAAAATCCAAGCTGCAATGCGGGCATCTTTGCATGGACTTTGCATTTTGTTGAGCACTGAAACTATGCTTTCCGCACTTGCACGGAACCAAGAACTGTGGGTCTTCCTGTACCTCCCGCTTGCATCGCTCGCAATTGCAGTCGAAACCTTTTCCAAAAAACTGTTCCATCCGCTCTTGGCGCGGCGCGTGGACTGGACAATAGGACACACATACTTCCTCGCCAGCTCGGATATCACAAAGTGCACGCACAGTGGCTTGAGTTTTCGACGTGTCCGCGAAAGCATTAGCGCAGCATGAGTGATTGAAGCGTGAAACTGCAGGGAACAAAGCAACATGGTCTGGGTCACGTATAGTTTGGAACACATTGGTCTTCAGAATCGATATCAGTTGTGACTCTATCATTCTCATCATAGAAGGTCCTGAAGCCAAGGTCATGACTTGGGTTGCAAAAAAATCTGCAACTGCTTTTCTCTCAGTCTTCTTTTTGCATTCGGTTTCCATCTCGTGGTACTCCCTCGGACCTTTGTAGGTGGAGCAGAATGCAGTGTCAAAAAGTAGAGCTTCACCCGCGGAAATGATTCGTTCAGTGCGGTAGCCCTTGCCTTTGCCACTGATGTCCACTAGCTTCAATGTTCCGCCCAGAATCTCCGAATGCGTGCCTTCAGCGAGTCGTGCAGTCAATGCTTCTGACAAGCATTCAGGAACAAAGGGCAATCCTCGAAGCAAGCGCTGCAAGTCGTACAAATGTCCTTTCTCAAGCAATCCTTGGGCACGTTCCAAAATCACCTCCTTTGTATGCTTCAGCAGGTTGAGTTCTTTAATAGCTTTCTCCTGACCTGTGGCACAAATCTTTACTGACAACCTTCCAATTACAGCTCCAGGCATTACACATCCCAAGTGCTCGTTGAGCCAACGACCACGCTCACTGGTCAAGCCTGTAATCTCCACCAAGTCCCCAACCTCAATGCAGTCCGGACATGTTGGAGATGCTTTACGCAGGTTGCATGGTTTGACCACAGGCTGGGTACTACTGTCTCTCAACTTGATGACATATCGACCATCTTTGTTGATCTGTGCCACAACACCAGTGCAGCCATTGAATCGAGAGCCAGCTTCGCTGATCAGCCCATGAACTTCCACTGTCGTCCCCACAGTGAGGTCGTATCCATCCATGCTATGAGGCAATTCCGGTCTTAGATTCTCTCAGATATACGGACCTACTGTTTGGAGGAACAATTGCTGGAGGTATCAATATGTAATATGTATATATATATATATATGACTTAGCTTCGTGGTTTTGTCACAACACCGTCCCCTCAGCAAGAACTGAGTATCATGTTGCTACTCGAATATGTCTGATTTGTGGTGGGTGTCCCTAGTGCAAAATCCTGCGGTGTACCCCTACTGACTAGCCACTACAGCAGAAACCCAATGACACCTGGTATCACCTGACACAAGAAAAGTCCAACGGCTTGCAGCTGCTCGGTTGCTGTCAACTGACTCTCCACAATTCCAATGCATGACTCACATGTGTCTGGGAGCAAAAACACCTGCGATATGATTATACATCCAAACACTTTGCGCCTGATATCATCTTTGTCAAGCGTTCAACTTGACAAGGGCAAGGAGTTGCTATGAATCCAGTCTCCAAAAGGATACTGGATGTTGTTATGCAATGCTATGCAATGTTATGCATACTATGGTTTCCTTCTGCGGAGACTCTTGGCCAACATCAACATGACCGACAAATTCCAACACTGACTGAAACAAATAGGAACTGGTCGGTATGACGATGATGGGCGATAATGAGCTTGTTTGGCGAAGAACGCGCGAACACTGATGGCGACAACGAAGAGGACACAACGAGGCTTCTTTTCTGTCTAGTCAGGCTGATTTGGCGCCACACATGATTACCCAAACTTCTATGAAGCCACAAGCTAAGAATGCACGGTGTCCCAAAGGGAAGGCATAGCAAACACTTTCGGTTAAGCTTTGGGCAGCTTGGGTTCTGCCTGGTTCTGCCGTTCTGACACCGGGTCGAGCCCCGCGCTGTTCGCCCGCAAAGATGACCGCTGTTGACCGCATCCTAAGCTGACGAAGTGGTCACAGCCACATGAAAGAGCGAGACGACCAGTCTCGCATGGATGACGAATTCGTCATCTCAACCCCAGGGGCTTCCAGCACTTCCATCCACCAACCCCAGTCCACCCTTCACAGGCCTGGGTCTACCATGGATCACAGGGCCACAAGCGACAGCGCAGTAGCGCGGCACAAGCGACAGCGCCGGTCGGAAGGCCAGAGGGCACAGGCAGGTCTGTGTTGGATTGTGAACAAACAAGAAATTTGTTTGGCTGTATTCAAACGGTATGTCAAGCTGTATGCTGCTTGACATCCCAATTCGTGGCAATGGACTGGATGTCTGGGCTGGCTGGGTGTTCGTCAAGCATGATGCAGTATGTCGAAACTCCCGGAATGTCTATAATTATTAGATAGACTCTGGTGAGGCATCATCAATACATTTATATATATACAGAAGCAAATGCATGTTCTATCTCCGTATGTCAACATCCTGGACCGCTTGTGCATCTTGCTTGGCAAAAGCTTCATGGTCACCTTTTCCTACAGGCTCTTCTTTTGAACAAACAGCTGGCAGCTTCGTTGCAAGCGGTGGGGGCGTGCTCGATGCAACCGCCTTCAGGACACTGGGATGGGCTTCGGGCTTCGCTCGCACCTTCGGTCGAGCTAACTCTGGAAGCAAACAAAGGACTACACCCGAAGCAGACTGACATAGAAGCTGAACTTAGACCATGGGATATGCTGCTTGTTCAAAAAGACCGGTATTTTCAGGTTCTATGTTCGTCTGCAAAGATGTAATCAAGTCAGGACCCAAAATATTAAACTTGTATCTTTTTAGCTTGCATAGCTTAGGGGGTTTAAGTTCGGCGGCCTGGCAATTCTGCAACAATCGTGGAAGTGGTAAACCCATTAGTTCATTTTCGGACAAGACGTAGGGGTGGTGCCATCCACTTCCATGTAATTGGAGAAACGAGGCTGGCCCCTGATGAACAAATCACTTCATCCGTTCCAACAGAATTCTCGCTCAGCCCTGTTGTCTTCTCAGCCCTGCTTGGCAGGAACTCGCAAAAACTCGTTGATCGGCTCTGCATGGCCCTCTCTTCGGCGTCGAAGGCAGTGCCAGCTCCATTTAGACATGACAATTTGCTTAGCAACTACAATGAAGTAGCCATTTCCCTCCTTAAGTGGACCAGCCCCTGTAGAGGAAAACCGCCTGCCAGACTCCGTCTACATGGAGTCGACGCAGGATCGTTTGGCGTGTCATCCATGGAGTACAAAAAAACTACTTGAGACATCTTGAGAACTTGAGGTGCATTCCATACTGGAGTTCTGGGTACATGCATGGTCCGCAAGACGGACCGTCCTGGAAGACTGGAGTTCTGGGTACATCTGGATCATCCAGTCTGGATCATCCAGTCTGACCCAGTTCAGCCAGGTCCTTTAGCTCATATGTTTTGTGTTCTTGTATCACCAATTCCAGTAAAAGGAGGTCAAACTGACGTAGAGGCTATCAATCGGCTCTTGGAAAGGTCACAAAGGGGTTGCGTTTGGATATGTTTGGATCACACGTCCAAAACCAGCGCTAAGGCTTTCTTGAAGGTGGATCTAGCTCTGCACCAAAAAAGGCGTGAAAATCGTCCGGGTCAGCTTGAAGGCTCAAAGACCCTGTTTTGAGGGAATGATTCCTAGGCTTGGGTTCAGAAAAATGGAATTCGCTATGTAATGGTGGAGCAAAGGGACACTTCACTCACTTGACTTTCTCCGATGCTACGCTGCCCTTCGATCTTACATCCTGAGGGAGCCTCCCGATACTGAAACCGGGGTGTTCCACGAACACAAAAACGGCACGTACTAAGCACTTGCTTTGAGTACTCGTGCCAACACATTGGGACAGCGGCCATGAAAACAACTGCCTTACAAAAACTGATTGTAACATATACTTTGGTGTCATCATGGAATACAACCCCGTACCCAGCATCATAGTGACATATCCAAAGGATGCCACTGACAGCTTTTAAGATCAATACAACAAACAATATGAAATAAGTAATATGCATGTTCTATTTCGTTCTTTGTTTTTTGCTAGAATTTGGTGCATCAAATATACATATATATATATACATTAATACATATATAAAACAACGAGTATATGGTTATGGTATGGCTCAAGCGTAGGGCAACCTCCCAAACCCACTGGTACAAGGAAACTAGTCTTAACCTGTGGGTCCCTGTCCTGAAACACGTGGCCTTCTCTCCCACTAGGAGGCATACCTGACAGATGTTCGCCACCTTTAGGAGGGCAATGGATCACAACCGACACCGAGTGCCTCAGGATCTCGTCACCAGAAACGAAGGATTTCGATCTCCGACTTTTGTGGATCAGAAATGGTTTTCTCAGGGTGGGTCCTTGGAGTTCTTGGAGGCCGTTGCGGCACTGGATGCCCATGCTCCGTCCAAAAGAGAATCCCGTCTTGAAGCTCTGCAGCTCTGCAGCTGTCGACCCAGGTGAATGGCACCAGGCTTCTTTGGGTCTGGGTCTTGATCCATGTGCCCAAAAACCGCAGTCTCTCAAGCAGCATCAGCATTCCTCGGCCCGCAAAAGCAAAAGGGAAGAACAACCTTGAGCGCCTTCTGCCACATCTGGTGAGAGGCACTCAAAGCAATGGGCAAGCCCATTTTGCCTTCGTTTGGGGAACAATTCATGCAGTTGGTGAACGTCACCCAGTGAGAAAGGGTGTTATATAGCATCCAGGATTTCTAGTTTACTCTGTTTCTAGAACAGTCCTTCAAACGAAAAAACAGATCGCCAGGCGTCATCAGCTCACGCGACTCCTTCGGCTCGCGGATGTGCAAGCAGTCGTCAGGTCGGGTGGTGGCCAGTTTCGTGTAAACGATCTGCCAAAGCTTCCTGAGACGGACAAGGAAACGGAAGAAAGAAAGGTTGGTTTTGCTCATATACCATAGGGCTCCAACCACATCCTCAGAAGGTGGTTGGGGTGGGTGCCAGGGGGGCTAAAGACCTTCTGAGGAGCCCTGGGGCTATGGATACACTGCCACCCTGTTGTGTTCGAGGGTGATGTGCCTGAATATTCAAATTTGAAAAAACATCGCACCCACCGGAGCTCACGAACCCAGCGGAAACCAGAACATTTTGCCTGCGCATAGAGCTGAACTTGTCATCTTGACTTCATGAACACGCCCTTCACGGTCCAAACAAACCAGACCCTCCAAAACCTCAATCCAAAATCGTTCAACTCGATGCGAGTCCCCCAAACAACTCGATTGGCCCATGCTGATTATCCCGTTGAATAAACACCTTTCTGCACCAGCAAAAGAAGAACGTCCGCGGTACTTCACGGCGTATTTGGGCGGATTCCCGGGTGGTTTGTTGGGCTGCCTTTGGCGAGCCAAAAGACCAACAACATGGAGACACAAACCTGAACACACTCGCGAAAAGAAACGGCCAAACACTTTCTGACACTCTTTTGGGGGTTCTTCAGACGGGCTGTCGTGGTTCTGGACCCCGTGGTTAAGGTAACCTCGTGGTTAAGCTAAGCTGGTCGTGGCTAAGCTAGCCAGTTTCTCTTTTGGGACACGCCAGGTTCAGGAAAAACAAACGGATGGTTCTGATGTTCCAAGTTTCACTCGTCGACGTTCGAAGGCTGCGGAGCAAGCACAAAGGTAGTAGACCCACCTGGGATGTTTAACAGGCACCCAGTTAGCCGACCGTTGGTGATTCAGTGAAGTCGACCGAACTTGATTTCCTGGTGGGTTCGGTCACAAACAGGCCGGTTTTACAGGTCACGACTGGGGACTCCAAAGAGGTCACGAACTGAAGAAGCTGGTTCAGAAACATTCAGCGTTAATTGGCGTTCCATCTTCTAAAAGCTCTTGTTCATTCAACATGAACATGTTTTGGTAACAAAAGTGGTGTGATGTGGTGTGTGTCACCTTTGTCATCCTTTGTCACCACCATCAATAACACTGATGTTTCACCATCTATAGAAGAATGGTTCTCGCCAAACATGTTAACTTGGGTAGGTCGCCAGGTACGACGCTTGTACCCAGTTTAAAGCTGGTATCGACTGACTGAGACTCATGTGACTGCTGAACCACCTCCACAACTGGATGTGCTGAACCTGGATTTG